GACTTTTCTCTACTCGTCACCTGCTGACAGAACTGTCGGGGCTCAGGAACATATTTACAGCTCACATTCATCAAACTGTCTCTGTTTGGGTTTGTGTTGGACAGATCCAGCATCTGGCTATCCGCTGCATCCAGAAGAACATCAAGAAGAACCGTGGAGTCAAAGACTGGCCCTGGTGGAAGCTCTTCACCACCGTCAGACCTTTAATCGAGGTGCAGCTCACTGAGGAACAGATCCGTGGCAAGGATGTGAGTTACACACGTGCGCACACATCTTCACTGTCTCACACGAGGTGTGGGGAAAAGGTCACACACACCTGTCAGTTTATCTGATGAGCAGATGTCGTGCATCATCTATGCTGATGATGATTCCAAGTCCACACACTCGAACTTCTTTGAAGAGAAACGTCTTTAGCTTCAGGAAACAAGTCCAGTTGTTTATTTTTAACACTTTTTTATTCACTTTTATCTACACTTCAGACAAAAACAACATTAGGTTTCTGTTTCTACCTGTCAGGTGTTAAATATGTCAGCAGATTGAAAACGAGCGAGTTCGAGTCAAGTCAAGTCAAGTCAGATTTATTTATAGAGCACATTTAAAACAGAAACTGTTACCAAAGTGCTTAACAAAAATATTGTTCTCAAGTTGACATTCTGCTTAGAAATGAACAGTTTGATGTACATACATAATTACACACATGCACACACTCACACACATACATACAAACGTACATATGTATGTTTGTATATTTGTGTATGAACGTATATATATATATATATATATATATATATAATATGTGTGTGTGTGTGTGTGTGTTATTTATTCTAGCTACATTGTAATGAACTCCATTTCCATTTCCATTGTCAAAGCAGCAGCTTGTGGACCTGTAAAGTCCCAACATGGAGACATCATGTGTGTGTTTACTGGTTTTGTGTCAGGAGGAGATCCAGCAGCTGAAACATAAACTGGAGAAGGTGGAGAAGGAGAGGAATGAGCTGCGGCTCAGCAGTGACCGCCTTGAGAGCAGGGTAAACTCACACTCTCTGAATCCCAGTTAACATTAAACTTGTTTTCACACATGGATCATGAAGTTTTTCTGGTGGTTTTTAAATCGTGAACTCCCTGAGCTGAGGAAAAAATGACAACTTCAACTCTAGATAAAATAAAAATAAAACTTTCAGCTAATTGATGTTTTAGTTTTGATGCATTTGTCTTTTTATATACAATAAATGAATCTTTGAGTGGAGTGTGGATGTTAATCACATTGAAAACTGTTTATGAAATGACACGAGTTGAAAATCATACTAAATAAGTCCAGAACATTTATCATATTTTATTCACTGAAACCTTTTTCAAACCTTCAAACAAGCATTACTTTGCATTTATTTGAAAAGCTCAAATAAATTTAAACAACACTGTTTACGTGCAGAAGACTTTAGGACACTAAATCTTGATAAAACCTAAAGTTTGGTCTTTCATTTGTACTATACAGTCATTTATGAAATCTTTTTTATGAATTTTGGATCACAGCTATAATTAAAAGTCTGTAAATATTTTATTAAATTTACAGAAATTGTACGTTTTTGATAACTTTTTGGCCTCAGACAATAAAAATGACAGAAAACTTGTAAAATGTAAAGTCACTGTCTAATACGTGTACATTTCATGGACTAGACATGGACATAGATTAAAGTCCTGAAGCGTGCATGTGTGTGTGCATGTGTGTTCAGATCACAGAGCTGTCGTCGGAGCTGACCGATGAAAGGAACACGGGGGAGTCGGCCTCCCAGCTGCTGGAGGCTGAGACTGCAGAGAGACTCCGTCTGGAGAAAGACCTGAAGGAGCTGCAGGTGAAACACAACTCAAACAACCATAATGTGTCACAGACCGGGGTGAGCTTTGGTTGAGCTGTCTCCACAACAGGTTCTGTTCATTCATCCAGGAAGTTCTGAAGTATTGAACATTTGCTGCAGTTAACTTGGTTTTATGTAACAGAAGTGGTTTCTTCATAAAAGTTAAAATGAGTTTTTCACTAGTTTTCTCTTTAGAACAAAGTGTGGTCCAAGCACAGTTCCCTGAGGCACATCAGAGATCACACTGAGTTTAGGAGCTGGATCTTCTGAAGCATGAAGGGACAATGGCTTTGACAGATGGGAATCAAACCATCACATATTTCTCATAGTCCTGGACTTTTTGAATGATGACATAATCAACTTGAGAACTTGTCAATAACTTTTCCATTTAACTCTCTACTGACTAAGTTCATGTCAGTTTACTTTACAAATTAACTCAACAGCTGTTTTTATAGGGTAAAAATATTAAACCTGACATGGAGTTGTTTGCTTTGATGGAAACGTGTTTCTGATCAACGTCAAAAATGTTCATTCCTACATTATTTGTATTTAAAGGTCAAAGGTCAGTCTTGTCATTTCCCCACGGAGCACAAAGAGCTCTCCACCATCAGCTGTAGTTTACATCTCCATGTTGTGAGAGGAGAGCTTCTGTGTGGTCCGTCCTCTTTGAACAGTCAATGCTGCTGCTGTCACTCATGGTACGGTTGTCATAGAAACCACTTGTTCCTGTCCAATCAGACCAAGTTTGACGGCATGAAGAAACAGATGGAGTCCATGGAGATGGAGGTGATGGAGGCTCGGCTCATCAGGGCGTCAGAGCTGAACGGAGAGATGGACGATGACGACACAGGTCAGACCTGCTGTGAGGAGGTGACACTTCTTCACAACACAAACTAGTTCCCAGACCGTTTAGAAACTGGTCTTAGGTCGTTTGAAGATGAAAGAGTTTTCAGGAGTCAGCTGATGCTTCAGCACGCCCACACACATGGTTTGATGTCTTCTCAGGGCAGAACAAGTTCCTTACGTTCTGCTGAGTAACAGCTGTGTGGTTTCACAGCTTTCCATCTGGTGGTCCAAACGTAAAGACAGCTCTGCAGCCAGGACGGCCCTCGGTCAAGACACGAGTGCACGTTGAAACTGCAGCTCTCAGCCGGTGACATGAGCACGAACTTTTTATGAAACAAATTCAAATCTGTGATTTAAAAAGCAAATTACAGATTCAATCAAAAAACGCTGAGGTCAAACAGAAACACGTGATGGTCTAGATCAAGACCTGCAGGAACACAACGACATTTAAAACATGAAAACTCTTCATTTTTCACTATAATACCTTGGCTTATCAATAATTAGTTAAATGATTAATATAATTAATTAATTAATTCCTTTAGGGGATTTTAAACATTTGATAAAGTCAATAGAAACATCAAAGCAAATATGTTCTTGTTTTTAGTTTTTTTTTACAGCACCCTGATTTAATTTGTTTTATAACATAACTTTTGTTTTAACAGCATTTTAATGTAGTTTATTGTTATTGTTGTTTATTGTTATTGTTGTCTGTACTTTATATGTTCTGTCTTGAACACCTTGTCGAGGTGAGCCCAGCTACATCTAGTCAGTACCTCTCAACCTTGCGCACAAGCTCAGGCTCCTCCCCCCCACTGAGGTCACGTTCCATGTCCCCAGCTTTGGTGAACCAGGGTCAGAGCGCCATGGCCCTGCCTTCAGCCACTGCCCATGGAGTCGTGCACCCCTTCTGCAGGCGGTGGGTCCACAGGAAGGCAAACCATGCTGCTCATTTGAGCTGAGCCTGACTGGGCCTCATGGGTAGAGACCTGGTGGCCAGGCGCTAACCGACGAGACCCTCCCC